CACACACACACACACACACACACACACACACACACACACACACACACCACATATCACATATCACTATGGTTTTGTATACTGAGTCAATAGGCCAAAGAACAATTTCCTCCCATGCAAGGCTTCTGTAAAGGATTAAGACAGAAGTTCCTTGTTTCTTTTTCTTATCATAATTGCATTGCTGTTCAATAAACAGAGGACAGCCTTTGTTAAGAGATCGGTGAGATCAGGGGAGAGATCAGAGCTCTTCTGCACAAATCAGGCAAACTCTTTTTTTAAAAATTCTTTATTAATTACACTTTATTCACTTTGTATCCCCCTGTGGTTCCCTCCCTCCTCACATCCCAATCCCTCCCTTCCTCCACCCTCTGCATGCATGCCCCTCCCCAAGTCCACTGATAGGGGAGGACTTCTTTTCTTACCTTCTGATCCTAGTCAATTAGGTCTCATCAGGAGTGGCTGCATTGTCTTCTTCTGTAGCCTGGTAATGCTGCTTTCCCCTCAGGGGGAAGTAATTAAAGAGCAAGCCAATCAATTCATGTCAGAGGCAGTCCCTGTTCCTATTACAATGGAACCCACTTGGATACTGAACTGCCATGGGCTACATCTGTGCAAGGGTCTTAGGTTATCTCCATGCATAGTCCTTGGTTGGAATATCAGTCTCAGGAAAGACCCCTGTGCTCAGATCTTTTGGTTCTGTTGCTCTCCTTATGGAGTTCCTGTCCTCTCCAGATCTTACTGTTACCCACTTCTTTCCTAAGATTCCCTGCACTCTGCCCAAAGATTGGCCATAAGTCTCAGCATCTGCATTGATAGTCTGCAGGGTAGAGCCTTTCAGAGGTCCTCTGTGTCAGGCTCCTGACTTGTTCCCTCTTTTCTCCTTCTGATTTCCAGCCTCTTTGCCTTTCTGGATAGGGGTTGAGCATTTTAGCAAGACTCCTCCCTCTTGATCAGGCAAACTCTTATGTCAATAACATCAAGAGTCAGTTTCTCTTGCATTGCACCAGCTCTTAATCACTGAGCCTTTTTGCCAGATCCGGTTGACATATTTTTAATGTAATATTAAAGTTAAAGGTCTAAATATTTCTGAACTGCAACTGCACTTGTTTTAATGCTTAATGAATATAATGTTTTAGCTATTTTTTCCAGGTTAAGAGTTCCAACCTCTCATCTTAAACTTCACTGATACTTCAAAGAGTGTAGAGATGACTAAGAAAAAAGAATTCCCAAATTATCTACCAGTTTTCAACATTTTAACATTTTTTTTTAATTTAAGAAGGATCTTAAACAAGTTCCTCTGCTGGGGCCTTAAATACAAAAACACAAGTATAAATACAATACACATACAAATACAAAATCATCAAGAAAGACTTGAATTTGCCCGGCAATGTATTAAAACAGCAACTACAGACTCACAGCCAAACAAACATTGGATGGAGACTCAGGAGGAGGATAGAACGAACCACAGAGGACAGGAGATCCACAAGAAGACCAACAGTCCCAATTAACCCAGGCTCAGAGGGGCTTGTGGAGACTGAGGCACTAACCAAAGACCAGGTATGGGCTAGAATTAGAGCCTCTACACAGTATACCTAAAGGGTAGTTTATCCTCCACATGGGTCTCCTAGAAAGGAGGCTGGGGGCTGTCTCTGACATGCTCTCTGTTGCATGCCTTTTAATGACTTCACCCAGGCATGGCTGCCTTGCCAGTATACTGTGAAAGAGTATGAAACAGTTCAGATGAGACTGGATGTGCTGGGGTGGGTTTCGGGAGGGTGTCTCCCCTTTTCTGAGGGGCAGAGAAAAGAGGATAAGGGGATAAAGGAGGAACAAAGAGGAGAGGGGGCTACAAAGGAGATGTAAAGTGAATAACTAACTAAAATAAAAAAAGAAAAAGACTTGAGAAAACTTGTAAAAATGCAATTTTTATTTTATTTTTCAAGTTATAAAAATATGAACATGTTAAAAATACAGTTGAGACCATATGTGAGTAGTTCTAGCCATTTAAAAGCCATACAGATTATGGAGTTATAGAGTATGAATAAAGAAATTCACAATGGTTCAGTGATGTTATTGCTAATTATATACAGCTTTTGAGCTTGTTCTCCACCAACAGAAAGGATAGTACTTGGGCATTTTAATTGTTTCTGCTAAAGATGTAGTTAAGAAAATAAAAACTAATTCAAAGTAAGAGTAAGCACACTCTGAATAGACTAGAATGTGTGAGTTTTGGTAAGCCATGGTTTAAAATATCAGTTCCATTCCTTTCTATTTAACTTTAAAAGTACATTAAGTAAAAATATAAGGGTGTATTTCTAGGCCAAAGCAAACTGCTACACAAAAACAAATCAGAAAATTAAAGGCTTAATTTTAAATAATAGGTGGTACAGTTGCCAGTGCAAAAACCAGAGGTGAATATCATTCATGTGGATGGTGGGTAGCACACAGGACTTGGGCCTGAAGTTGGCATGGAAGACTTCGGAGTTCAGGGTTCCCAGAAGCAGCAGTAGCTTCCCTTCTTAACTTTTAGATTATATGACAAAGTTAAGTCTACTGCTGATATCTTTCCCTTAAGTTCTTGAATAAATGGGGAAGAATACTGAAGACAGGCATGAAGGGAAGTAAAAGGATCTTAAAATCCAATTCTTAGAACAATTCTTAGCAAACTTAGGACCATTTGGCAAGTATTCCTAGATACCTGGGATGCAAATTCTAGAACGAGGCTACACTTCCAGGAGGTAGGAAATAATCACTGATGACCATGGGGGTCATCTCTCATTTTTGGCTTCAGTCTTAGATTTGTACATTTCTCATTCCCTATTCTCCCATTAAAGCTTTTATTTTTCACTACCATTCATCACATAAATATATTGAATTGAAGCTGTCAAGAAAATGTTTCAAAGTTGTTACTGCCACTAAATGCACTCATTCCTCAAGTATCAAACAAGATCATTTTTCACCCATCTACTTGATTACTGTATTTCAAAAGGAAATATCTCAATCTAAAAAGACAATATGGACTATAAAACTCACATAATTCAAATATGTCAGAACACTAGTATAAAACTAAGTTGAACTGACTTCAAAATCTATACTTATATATAATATATATATTACATATATACTATATATAGTATAATAAGTATGTACTATATTACTAGTGTTAATCGTAAACAGGCATGTGCTTCATTTAAAAATTAACCTAGTAACTGAAAAATCACTACTTCTTAAAGAGCTATGTTGTGCTATCTCATAGACAGTATTACAAAACAATTCCATTTGTGCAATAATTTGGGTTCGCAGTGAGTATCTTAGTACCTATATCATGTTTAATATTACCTTGAGAATGTCATAAGACATGTAAAAATTATCTTTAAAGATCTTTAAAAGCAATAATTCAGACTGGCAGCTGCTCTAGCAAAGGTGCCGCTAGGAATAAAAAATATTACATACATTTAGTTTTAGCACATAATACTTTATATTACATTTTTGCAATAAAATATATCAATTCCCATTACACTTCTCTTGCTGGAACTAATGAACCAATAGAATTGGCTTTTGCTCCTTTAATTACTAGCCCAATCTTGAAAGCGGAAGCAATCACTTGCAATTTTCCACACTATGTTGTGAGGAGTCTTCTGCGCAGTCAGCAGGAAGTTCTGGTTAAAGAAGTGTTGCTTGTTTCCATCAAATTTAACAGCTCCACTGGTCACAACAAGAACTGTAGTCTTCGACTGGGTAGCTTGTTCTTTAGCAACATAAACAGGAGAAATATGACAGTTTACATGTCTAAATAAGCTTATGATGTGCTATTAACGTTTTTTTTCATAAATGTTCTGTACTTTGAGCAGGCACTCCAAAGTCAAAAGTTTAATATATACATACATACGTACATTCATACATATGTATGTTTTGTGTGTGTGTGTGTGTGTGTGTGTATGTGTGTGTGTGTGTGTGTGTGTGTGTGATTTTCAGACCAGAAAGATTTGTAGGATACTTTCAAGTTTCAAAATAAAGATTCTAAATCTAACATAACCATTTGTTTCTTATATGTGTTAATATTTCATTAGCTGTCAACATCATTTGTAGTTTGCTTCTGAAGCCTTCTTCAGGAAATAGAAGGGGAAATTGCACCATAAACAACTACTTAAGATAGCAAGTACTCCATCTAGAGGTAAATACTGTACACTGCATCAATCTGCTCTGAGTCAAATTCTGTCTCAAGTCATTCTGGCACACAATACAGTTCTCTGAAATGTTAACAGACACTCAAACACATTAATCTATATATGGCATAGGTTGTTTCCTATAGGCATCTTCTTTTCATTAGCAAAGAAATCAAAATCTCTCAAACTTAGTGGTGGTTCTCCAGAGTGAATGCATCTGAAAGAAGACCCAAAGCCTAACTGCATAAATTATTTTCTGTATAAATTATTTTTACTTGCTCAAATAAGTAAATATAGCTACTATTAAGCACTACTGCTGTTTTGCATGTAAACCTCAGTGTTGACTAGCAGAAAATGAAGGAGATACTTTGAAAGATCATCATCTTACCATGAACTGGTTGGCAATCTAACATATTGATCTGGAATTCACTAGAAGGTAAAGTCTCAAAAAAATTAGCAAGCCCCTCCAGTCCTGTTACAGCATTTCCATTCCAGAGTAGAGTTGCCTCATCCATATAAAGTCTGATAAGTGCCTAAAAATAAAGGAAAACTTTTTAAAATGGACTTTTCTCCACAAACATTTACTAGAAATGCATTAAAAGATTATAGATGGTATGTAAACATTTCATGAATGTGTCTCTATCTCTATTTCTTTTGCCCTCTTCGTACCAGAAAATAATGTGACCATGATGCCTATCATGCCTTCAATTGGTATTATCCTATGCTATAAACCTGGCAATTCATATATTTTTAGTATTTCCATCTTAGTTTAAATGAGAAAAACTCGCATCCATCACAAAGAGTTTTAAAATTTTGTTATTTTAAACTGCATTAAGTAATCACAAATCCCAAGCACATGCAGCCTCAAACCAGTTTTGGTATCTCCTTTCCAATTCTGAGAAATAAGTTGCTAACTAGGTACTAATAGACTTTAATTCTAGTAACTTTATACATGTGAATTGTTTGGTGATTTTAGGATAGGAGGAATTAATTTTTTAATATTGGCATCCTAAGCTCAGATGAATCAGAAGCACCTAATGTAATGTGTTGGACAGTAAGTGTGATAAAGTTCAAATGAAATAAAATCCAACAGCTTTAACTCTTTTGGATCAAGTGACACATTATGTTTTTTATTCTCAAAGTTAAATTGGATTAAAAAGATCACACATACCCTCCTTTGCACTGATAATGAACTATGTTACCTTTTTTTTAGTTTTACCCTGTATTCCAAGCTGGCCTCAAACCCAGAATCTTGTCTCAGCCGCCCAAATACTACAATTACAGGTATGTACCACCAGGGACTTGGCTATGTTGCCCCCTCCTCTTTTTTCTTTCTTTCCTTCCTTCCTTCCTTCCTTCCTTCCTTCCTTCCTTCCTTCCTTCCTTCCTTCCTTCTTTCTTTCCCTCTCTCCCTTCCTCCCTCTCTCCCTTCCTCCCTCCCTTCCTCCTTCCTTCTTTCCTTCCTTCCTTCTTTCCTTCTTTCCCTCCCTCCCTCCCTCTCTCCTTCCCTCCCTCCCTCCCTCCTTCCTTCCCTCCCTCCCTCCTTCCTTCCTTCCTTTCTTTTCTTTCTTTTTTTTTTTTTTTATCAAGACAGAGTTTCTCTGTGTGTGGTCCTGGCTGTGCTGGAACTTTCTCTGTAGACTAGACTAGCTTCAAACTCACAGAGATCCATCTGCCTCTGCCTCCCAAGTACTGAGATCAAAGGCATGTGCCACCATGCTGGCTTTATCATTTTTCTTTAAAAGTTTTTTTTTTTTTTAATCACAAAACAGTCCTGTAATGTTAACCAAGGCAAGATCCATGTGATCATATATTGAAATAATTCCTTAAAAATATAGTTGGGGGGCAGCTAGAGAGATGGATCAGCAGTTAAGTGCACTGGCTGCTCTTCCAGAGGACATGGGTTCAATTCCCAGCAACCATATGGCAGCTTACAACTGTCTGTAACTTCAGTTCAAACATGCAGGCAAAACACCAATGCGCGTAAAATAAAAAATAAAAAATGAATCTAAAAATAAGTTGAGGGATAAATTCAGGGTAAAAATAACTGATATGAGACCTTGATCTATAAAGACTAAATGCATCTATATTACATGGATCCTTATGGTGAACATTAGCTACAGTTGTGAACCTGAATCTGAAATTTTCTATTACTATAGAAAATAAAAGAGGCAGACCAAGAGATTTCCTGTAGTAGTGCACTGTTCCACACTAGCATTATTTACTTAACTATGTTAATTCATGGGACTAAGAGAAGATCAACTGTTTAAATACAGGTCTGCTGGACCCAGTTTTATGCAGTATTTAAATTAATTCCCAAGCTGAGGAAACAGGACAGTGGGAGAGTACTTGCATAGAATGTCAAGGCCCCAAGTTCAATTTCCAGCATTGCCAAAAAAAAAAAAAAAAAAAAAAAAAAAGAATAAAATAAGTTCCTACTTAAAAGTAAAATGAGGTTAAGAAAAGTTGGGACTCAGGTGTGGGAAGAGTGTGAATGGGAGGTGAGAAGGCTGAGAAAGAAGGGAAATTGATGGGTATAGAAGGGCATCTCTGGGCCAAGCTGGTGACCTAGGACAGGGTAGGCCCCCAGGAGAATATGAGGGTGACTCTAGCACAGACTCCTGGCTGCAGTGGGGGTGGAGTACATGGAGACTGAAGCAGCCACCTCCTAGCCAGGCAGGACTTCTAATGGAGAGAGGGGACACCAACCCACCCATAAAGCCTTGGATTCAAAATTCACCTTGCCTACCAGATGTGTAGGGATAAAGATGGAGCAGAGATTGAGGGAATTGCCAACTAATGATTGGCCGAAACTTGAAACCCACTCCATGAGAGAGAGCCAACCCCTGACACTATTATTGATACTCTGCTATGCCTGCAGATAAGAGACTAGCATAACTGTCCCCTGAGTGGCTCCACCCAGCAGCTGATGGAAACAGATGTTGAAAACCACAGCGAAACATTTGGCAGAGCTTGGGGATCATGTGGAAGAGTAGAGGAAAGTTAGAGGAAGGACTTGGAGGAGACAAGGACCCCACAAGAAGACAAACAAAATAAATTAACCTAGGCACATGGGGTCTCACAGAGACTGAAGCACCAACCAAAGAGCAAGCACGGACTGGAAATATGCCCTGTACATATTTGTAGCTGACCAGCAGCTTGGTGTTCATGTGGGTGCCCTAGCAAGTGGAGCAAGGGCTGTCTCTGTCATGGACTGTATTGCCTGATTTGAATCACTCTCCCCTAACTGGGCTGTTTTGTCTGGCCTCAGTGGAAGAGGATGCACTTAGTCCTGATGTAATTTGATGTGCTGGGAGGTGGGGGTTGAATGGGGAAGAGCTCTCCTTTTCTTCAGAGAAGGGGAGGGGCAAACGGGAAAAGAGGGAGAGAGGGTGGGACTGGGAGGAAAGGAGGGACGATATAAAGTGAATGAATGAATGAATAAATAAATAAATAAATGTTTTTTTTTTAAATAAATGTTTTTAAAAAAGAAAAGTTAGAACTTTGCCTACAAACATGGTACTAGGTAAAGGCAAACTTATGATATAATTTCAGATATCCCCACTAATTCCTTACCATACATTCTATAAGAAACTTGATTTCTTTCTTGTTTTATATTTATTATTTAAAACAGTTCTTAAATTTAAATATATTTTTATCATATTTTTTCCTCCTTCAAGTCATTCCAGATCCTCTCCGTAGCCTCCCAACTTTAGTTCCTCAAAACACCCCCCAAAACTCTAATACAACTAATCCCCCAACACCAAGAAAACAAAATAAAGCAACACCAAAACAGAAAAAGAAAACAAAACAAAACTCAACAAACTGTAACCAAATAAAAGCAACTTGTGCACTGTAATTACTTACGCAGGTCAGATAAGTGGTATTTAAACAAAGAAATAGTATTTAAAGAGCAATAGAGACTATATAAAACTTACATGTCTTCTTTTGTCCATTGTCTCATAATAAATACTGATAAATTCTTCAGCAGCTCTACATGCCTGATCCACATAAGTTTTAAAATCCTAGGAGAAAATTTCCACAAAGTTAAATTATAATTCCACCAATCCCCCCAAAGCACAAAATATGCAGCAGATGCCCATTTATGTTTATCACTACAAAGCTGCGTACAAAATCCACTCCGATCATACAAATTTGAGTATTTTTAAGGGTAAGGCACACATTTCAGTTTAAAAATACCGCTCCTAGTTATAGGTGTATGTCTTTAGAACATATTTTTCATTCTTCACATATAGATCTGGGCTCTTTGCTTGACAAGTAATAAAAATTCAGTACTACAAAACATTCACCAATAAAAGGAAACCATAAGAACTGTGTAACTCAGAGATGCATGGTGACAAGACACTAGTTGTGAGGGGTAGGCAGTCATTGAGTATGCTAGGAAAGTGCTCAGTTTCAATCTATGGCCAAGCTCAAAAGTTAATGAGTTAAAAAAACAAAGTCATATACGATGTGAAAGCCTAAGCAGCCTCATTTAGAAATTTTTCTTACACTATGTAAATATTCACTGGTGTTTGGAAATGAATTGCAAAAACCAAGAAACGAAAATCCTCAGGGCCGGTTCTCGAAAGAGGATCCCCGATTAAGTAACTTTTTGCCTCCACTACAGTCCTAGGCTTTGAATTAAAAATAATCGCCACTATATTTTTTTTTTTTTTTAAGATCGGAGCTTTTGATTTTTAAAGCGCTAACAGAAAGGCCAACAGTGTGAGCCGCAAGGGACTGAGCCCTCATCCTCCCACCTGCTATTCTTTTCCAGGACCAGAGGGCGGGCAGAGGGAGCAGCCCCGCCCCAGCGGCTGGCGGGCCAGACCCTGATTCGCCATTTGCTCACGTGTCCAAGGCCGGCTCGCGCCTCTCCTCCCCTTGGCCGCCCAAGCCTCAGCACCAGCACATCAGTACCTCGTGGTGTCGCGCACTCACCACAGCCTTGGTCATTGGGGAGCTTGAAAAGGTCTCCTCTGGCGGTGGAGGTCTCACTACGCTCTCACCCGCCTGGCTTTCCGAGCTGCGAAAGGATGAATTGTTTAGCAAAAAAACGAAACCTGCCAAAGGCAAAGATTTTGCCACCAGCCCATTCTCTCCCGGAAGTAGCTCGGTCCGGTGTTTAAAATCACACGTGCTCCAACTTTAAGCAGCATTTCCCTTCAGTTCCGACTGATCCCACCCATCCGCTTTAGTTGCTTGCACACTGTTTAACATAAAAGAAACAAACAAAAACAACAACAAAAACCCCAATAAAAACCAAGAAATAAAAAACCTCCTTGCTTTAGTAATCTTAACATAGAAAACAAAAACATCTCAGTTTTCCAGCTATCTGCCCTGGCACAAGTTAAAATTAAAGAGTCCAACTATGGATGGGGATGTCTTTACTCCAGGAGATGGCACTAAAATTTGAAGGCCAATGAGAAACAAACAAACAAACAAAAAGAAAAAAAACAAAACGCAGGTTAGTAGCCAGTAAGAAAAAGAGGCAGAAGTTGTGGAAAGGCACATTAACCACCTACACCACGATGGGCTGAAAACCATTAGTGTTCTAGAACGTTCTTCATTCTGATGCGCAGCCATTAACGCCTAACATTTTCCACTGTTGGTGGACTAAATATTAGGTACTGTTGGATGCCTAACATTTTCCACTGTTAGTGGACTAACTAAATGTTAGGTACTGTTGGATGCCTAACATTTTCCACTGTTAGTGGACTAGGGGAGGGTCATAGGGGGAGAAGAGGGAGGGAGCGTAGGATTGGGAGAAGACGAGGGAGGGGGCCATAGCCGGGATACAAAGTGAATAAATTGTAATAATAAATTAAAAATTTAAAAATACACACAAGTGTTTTATTGATTTCCTCTACTCTGAGGGAATTAAATGTCAAGCACCACCTCTAATCTCTACATTGTATGTTTCCATGGGTTATTCAGAACAGCCTGAAAAGAAAAGGTTTAGTACTGACCACAAGCGGTTTTCTAAGCATTTTTATCCATATTCAGTTATTTATGAAAACTATGAGTTAAATGCCATTAACCAGTGACTAGGATTTAAGTTTAAGTAATGAAAAGGCCTAAGTACACTGGTTTCTGTACTCCGGTGCCATTTCTTAAAACAGATGGTCTCAAAGTGGCCATCAACAGAATTCTAAATCTTGAATCAAATATTTCTATCTATAAACTTACTATTTGTCGATTCTTCGTAGACAGTCGTAGGAACTACCACACTTTCCATAATGTTTGTCCTCATAGGACCACTTATTACCAACTTTTTTCATATTTTTATCTTCTGTGGTGCTCTCACCAAAGTACTATAACAACCACCGTTCTCTTCTACGTCAGTGCGGAACTCACCTTCAACTACTTCCGGTTTGTCTGTTATGATGCTTACTTCTGTTACTTTTATTACTTCCGAGGCAGCTGATCCAATGAGATACTCCACTGTTGTTCATATGCTAATGAGTCATGGTATTTTATCTTCAGTTCTACCTTTTTTATAGAGCTGAATTGTGCATATGGAATCTTACTATTAGTGAAAATGAAAATGTTTTGCATGTTTCTCAGACTCTCAAGTCCAAAACTTTAAACTTATTTTTCTCTACTTAATTTCTAATGAATATTTTCTCAGTCAGCTGTTCATGAATCTTTGGATTATTTATTTATTTATGTTTGCTTTTGTTTTATTGTTAATTCCCTCACTAAATATTTATAATCATTTACTATACTCCAGGCATTCATTGCGCAAAGCTCTAGCTGCCAAATGAAGTGGACATAATACTCTTGAAAAGCTTACAGACTAACAGGAGTGATAAACAATCAAGTATGTGTTAATATTTTTAAAGAAATTCCAAGTAATGAATTCTGAGTAGCTAGTTTTGATCAATCTCTAAAACATTTTCCTATCCTCTCCTGTGTCTCTGCTTTTCTAATCCCTCTTCTCCTTTCCTTCTTTCTTCCTGTACTCTTCCCCTGCCATCTTACATCTTCTATCTAAGTTTAATCAGTCTATCCTTACCCCACAGTTCCAATATTTAAAGCCTAACTTGATGTGGTTTTAATTTATTCTTCCAGAGTTTCCCCCCAAACTTAAGAAAGGTTAGTTAAGTACACTTTTTTCCCCTACAAAATGACTCCTGTTCATTGTTATATTGGTATTGACTTGTCTTGAATAATAGAAGGAATTTTTATTATATGATTTCATTCAATCCTCACAAAACACAAAGAGGTAAATAGTAATATCCATATTTTTAAGAATTTGAGATATACTCAAAGAGAGAAAAAAAAAACCTTTGCTAGGACTGGAGAGATGGTTCAATGGTTAAGAGTTGCTCTTGCAGTTAGCTTGCAACTCTAACTCCAGTTCTAGGATATCCAATGTCGTCTTCTGGGATCAGCATATGTATGGTACATCTACATATATTCAGGCACACTCACATGCACATAAAAATTTTAAAAGTAGATGACACAACTTCTAATCAACACATTACTGTTTATTACACACACACACATACACACACACATATATATGTATATATGTATTATTTTCCTCCTTCTTGATTTGTTTACTCCATTCTAACTGTTCTTCAGGTATCTAGGCAAGTATGATCACTTCTGTGAAGCTTCCCAGCAATTCATTGTTCTAGAAACATAGTGTATCAGAAGTGACTTTTAGGACTATAGAACTGGTTATTAGGATGGACAATAGTGCTAAAGGAGTAAAGAAGTTTTGGGATTTGGGAAAGGGATATTTGAGTTAGAGGTGGAATGAAAACTCAGAGTTTTTTGTTTTTGTTTTTAAACTCAGAGTTTTACACTGATTTTTGTTGCACATAGTTTTGTGCTGTGATGGTAAAGTGATGATGTAGAAATGAGTATTGGGCTCTGATTATTGGAGCTTTGAATGGAAAATGTTTGAAAAACATGTTGGATGTGTGTTGGGGCATGGAAAATAGGAAACAACCAGTGAAAAAGAAAACAAGTGAGAAACATGGTTCATCTTTATTAGATAACTGTGCAATTGTTTAAAGTACAAGACTGACTAGGAATTGTATTAAGGGTGTTTTCATGAATCAAAATGATGTGATTAAGGACACTATTTTTGCCATCAGTCTGGGTTCAGATTCTATCCATGCTGCTTACTAGCATTCTGACCTTGAGAAAATTATATAGGCATTATACAACTCAGTCTTTCAATCTGTAAAATGGAAATAATGATAGTATATATTTCAAAACATTGCTGGGGTAGACAAAAATGCCTTATTGGAGAAGGAGACTGCTACCAAAACTGATGAACGTCAGTTTAGTTCCCAGGATGCACATTGTAGAAGGAGAGAATGGACTCTGACAAGGTGCCATCTGACCTCCACATTTGTATCATAATGTACACCTCTGTACATTTAATTGATAAATAAGTGTATTTTGAAAAGCACATTGTAATAAGAATTAAATGAGTCATTTAGACTTTTAAGTTTTCTGTGCTTGAAAAATACATTTTCCTATGTATATCAGAGATTAGAGAGCCCAGATTCTGAGAAGATGAAATTGGAAGGTATTAGATAATTTGAAAGGTAGAAAGAAGCATTAGTAAGTTCAGGAGAGAATTGGGAACTCTAGCAAAAGAGACTATAGATGAAACAGTAATAGATGACTTTGGTTAGAATTCCTTGTGTTATACAACCAGCTCTTCTAATGTATACACCTAAGAATTAAAAGTTCTTGTGACTACCACAATCCTTACTTGAATCTTTCCCTTGCATTTGATATTACAAGAGACACCACAAACATAGCAGCTCTTATAAGAGGAAGTATTTAATTGGGGGCTTGTTTACCATTTCAGATGCTTGGTCTAATACCATCATGAGGGGATTATGGCAGCAGGCATGACATACATGGTGCTGGAGAATTACTTGAGAGCTATATCCTAATCTATAGGCATAAGAGGTGGTTGGCAGGTGGGGGTGTGTCTTGGAATGGACTTTGGAAGTCCCAAACCTACCCCTAGTTACAAACTTTCTCCAAGAAGGCTACATCACCTAGTCCTTGTAATCCTTTCAATGGTGCAACTCTGGTGACTAAGCATTTAAATACATGACCCTGTGGTCATATATAAGCATTATTATTTAAACACCACAGTATCTAATACTTTTTATAGTAATTAAAAATAATATTTTTTAAGAAAAAGAGATCATGCCATTTGACTTGTTAATAATAAGTTAAAATGAGCCAGACATAAATAAGTAAAACAAGCCAGAAAGAAAAATATTGTGTGATCTCTATTACATGTAGAATCTAAAAACTGTCATTTGAAGAAAATAAATCAGTGATTATCAGGAACATGTTAGGAAAGGGAGTAGGGCGATGCAGATCAAAGGACACAAAGTAGCAGTCTAAAGAACTAACAGCAACATAAGGACCTAGTTGATAGTGGTGTACTGTATTCAGAGATTGGGTAAATGAATAGACTGTAGATGACTTTGTCATAAAAAAATGGATAACTTTGAGATGGTTAGTATGTTGTCTACCTTAAACAGATAGAATGAAATTTATATTTAAAAGACTCTACAGTAAACACTCTTAATATTTACATACTTACTTTTTCTAGTAGATTTGTCATTCCTGGGAAAAATATTATGTAATTTTCACATATTTAACAGCCTAGCCACTGACACTGAGTAAAATTCTTACAGAATATGTGGTTGAAATGGAGTGAACAAATACAATTTCTTCTTTTTGTAAAACTCCCTACATTCCCATTCTGAGCCCGTTTTGGAAGAAGTGAAGGTGTGAATTAATTTCCTGTAAAGGAAATTTTTTTCTTCTAGTGACACAGAAGTGAAAGCATAATCCATTTTCACCTCATTACATTTCAATTGCTTCCTCTATGGGGTATTCACAAGTCTTATCTTCAAGGGAACAATTCTTTCACCCTCCCCCGCGCTGGAAACTTTGCCTTCACTTAATTATTTTTAGAATAAAAACATATAATAAGGCTTTTGTATTGGTTGAACGCTCTGGTTTCTGGATGTCCTGCTGAAACTCTTGTTCCTCCAGTCTGCAAATTTCTTAGAAAAAATATGATTATGATTGTTAAGATACTGGCATGAAAGATCCTGGCAGAGGCATGCATTTAATTAAGAAGATGACAAACTAAACTCTGAAATTTCCTTATCTTACTTTGCTCTACCAGTGAAGTGTTCTTTATACAAAGTATGTTATTTTCTCCTTCCTGTCAAGTTCCAACCTTTACCCTTCTACAAACTGAAGTCAAAACAAAAACATGACCCTTCTCTGACTACCTTCCCGAACAGAAAGAATATGTGGTTATAGACTTAATGTCATGGGTCAGTTTTTCTGTTACCTTTAATTACATCATCTGATAGTAACATAGATTTATCAATGTTTTAAGTAACAAAATATTTTATGGAAATAAGAATTGAATACAGCATTTCACTTGTGCTAGATAAGCATTCTACCACTGAGCTATGCCCCTAATCAGTATTTCTAGCATTTGTCTGGCATAACTTTATTCTATCATTTTATTTTCAATGTTTCTGAGTTCTAGTACTGATACCTTGTCTTGCAAAACAAATAAATAAATAAATTTAAAAGTGAGAAAATGAAAAACAGGTACAATACATGCCTGGAAACAGCTGTTTCTAGAAGCTATAGGTTATTTTAAAAAAAATCAAGTGTCAGGGGTGTAAAACATCTCCATGAGTTGTCAGGAAAGCCACTGAGGTCAATAAAGCAACACAGGCTTTTGTCATCTCTCTTGGCTACTTATCAAAAAGTAGATGATAACATGACTATTCATAAAGTCTATCCAAAATAATCTACAAATTATTTAAAATACTTAAATGATCACAACAAAGTGCTGGGCAAAAATGAAGACACAGAATCATTTGCATGTATATATAACCATCACTGAACAACTAGAAATAATTTTTAAAAGATTGACTAGGTTTGTTACTGCATGTCTGTAATTCCAGCACTTGGGTGGTTCAGGCAAAAGGATTGCTGTGACTTCAGGGCAACTTTAGCTTTAGAATGAGTTCCAGATCAGCCTAGATTATATTGAGATACTATCAAAAGAAGGTATTTTTAAGAAGACAAGGCCATTTACAGTATCATAAAATCTGAGCTACTGGTATTTACCATCTGTCATTTGAAGCATTGCTATGAGAAACCAGAGACTGAAATAGAAAAGAGATGTATCATATCATTTTTTAAGAAAGTCATTATTATTAAAATCTTAATTTCTGTAAATTGATCTAATAGT